ACCACTTGAGCCACAGCTCCACTTCCGGCTTTTTCTGCTTATGTGGTGCTGAGGAATGGAACCCAGGGCCTCATGCATGCAAAGCAAGCACTCTACAACTGAGCCACCTTCCCAGCCCAGGTATAGTCATTTTATCTGCAAATAAAGATGGCTTTTTTTTTTATGGTACTAGGATTTGAGCTTAGGGCCTCACATGTCCAATAAAGGACTTCTGACTGCCTTTGTGTTCTTTATGATGTATATTGTTACATTCAGTTTTATATTCTTAAAAAATGTACAAGTTATATTGTCTCAAGAGAATGGCAGACTATTACATTTTAGGAACTCTAACAAATACATGAAGAAAAATATTAAACATTTTGTTAAGAAAACCAGTGAACATACCAGCAATATATTATTCATCCATCCATCCATCCACTTATCTACCCACCTATTTACCCAATAAATGATTATTGCTTATAGTTCATGCCATGAATCCTTCTGGAAAAAATTGAGAAAGACATAGTCCTTGCTATGAAGATCACACACACACACACACACACACACACACACACACACACACACACACACAGCATAAAAAGGGGTACTTGAATCAGCCTTGGACAGTCAGGAAGGTTTGATAGAGGAAGGTGACATCTAAGATTTCTGAAAGACATAGGTACATAGAAGAAAAACTACATTTTCTATAAATGCACTGAGTTATTTAATTGCCTCACAGTTCTTGGATATAAGCTTGTCAAAAATGTTAGCAGCAATTCTAAAATCATCATGGTTCTCAAGATCTTCAATTTTCTTTTGCAGCTCAGGGAGCTAATGACACTCTGGAGAACACAGCTCTGGATACCAGTCTGCTGGAAGAGTTCTTAGGCAATGACTTTGATTTGGGAGCCTTGTAAGTAATAAGAACATGTAACATAAATCAGTTGGGAAGTATTCTCTCCTCTTCTATTTTCATAAAGAACCTGAATAGAATTGGTACTATTTCTCCCAAAAATATCTGGCAGATTTCATTAGTGAGGCCACTTGAATCTGAAATTTTCTTTGTGGGTTATTCCTCCTGTTCTCCTCACCCCCCATTCTTGGAACAAATCTAATATCTTTTTATAGACATGAGGGTATTTAGGTTATCTATTGATGGCTATGGGCTTAGGATATTTGTGTTTTTAAATGAATTTATTTCATATAGGTTGTCCAGTTCACTGGCATAAAGTTCTTTCTATTTACTTAAGTGTTGTTGTCTGTAGGATTTGTAGTGAGTCTTTTTTTCTTGACATCATTAGCTCCTTCCTTCCTTCTTTGGGAGTACTGGGACTTGAATTCAGACCTTCATGAATGCTAGGCAGGTGCTATACTATTTGAGCCATGCTCTAACCCTTTACACTTTATTTTTGGAGAATAGAGCTTTGTATTTTTGACTGAGGATGATCTCAGCTTCTGATTAAAGGTATTGGTGTATCATTCTTTTTCTTTGTGTCTTTGTCTGGTTTTTCGGTGAGTGGTCATTCGCTTTTTATTTCATGGAAAAAATTGAGGAGCGTTGGTGTTAGTTCCTTAAATATCTGGTAGGATTTGACAGTGAATCCATTATGTCCTGGGCTTTTCTTTGTTGGGAGATTTCTACTGTTGTTTCAACATATTTTCTTATTATAGATCTATTTAAGTGGTTTATATTTTCATGATTCAATTTTGGTAGTTCAAATATATCTATAAATATGTCTTTTTCTATTAAATTTGTATTTGAATATAGGTTTGAAAGTATTTCTTCATGGTCATCTGGATTTTCTTGGTACTTACAATATTCCTATTTTCATCTCTAGTTTTATTAATTTTTGGTCTTATTTCTTCAGTGACCCACTAGTAATTCAATACAATATTGTTTAGTTTTAGTTTTTATGTGTTTGGTTATATTCTATAGTTTCTTTTGCTGTTGAGTTCTAGTTATATTCCATGCAGTCAGATAGACTATAGGAATTTATCAATTTTCTTTTATTTCCTAAGACTTGCTTAGTATCCTAAAATATAATCTATTTTGGAAAAAGTTGTATGGGGCACATGTATATTATATAGCTGCTTGATGAAACACTTTGCAGATATCTTTGGTCTATTGTATTACTCAATTGTAAGGTTTCTTTATTGAGTACTGAAGTCTTCTACAATCATTATGTTGTAGACTATCTGTGCTTTTAAGTACAGTAGTATTTAATGAAGTTATATGCCCTGACATTTGACATATAGATCATAGCAATTGTTATTTCTTTTTGATGGTTTTGGGTTTTTTTTTATATGAAATGACCTTCTTTGTCTCTTCTGACTGATTTTTGATTTGAAATCTTCCATATTTATAAGGTGGATTACTGTTCTGGCAGTCTATTTGCTGAATATAACCCTTTCCAACTTTTCATCCTAGGTCAGTGTTTACTTTTGTTAGTAAGATGTGTTTCTTATAGGTATCAAATAGTGAACTGTTACTTTTTTTTTGCCATTACCTGCTAGAATCATGTTTACTTTATATCATCAGGGAATAAATGGATCCACATAGGTAATTCCATACTAATTGTTACCCTTTCAATCTCCTGTTTTAAAAATGTTTTAAATATGGCCCATTTTTATCATATCAAATATATTAGCATTCTTTTAAAAATTATATGATCATTATATATATACATATATATGTTTAGGAGGTAGAATGTGATAGTTAAGCATGCATATAATTTTCAGCTATTATCGAAAAGTATGTAGTAATTCCTTCCATTTGTTGTTTTTATAGTATTTAATTCTTTCCTATTTTTCATTTGCTCATCTGCTTATCTGGTGAGATTTGTTTTCTCCCCTAATAATATAGTTATATTTATCTTCCTTTTCTTGCTATTTTACATAGTGCTGATGAAGTAGTAAAAAATTGCTTTTGTTTTTGTTTACCAGGGAAGATTTTTATTTATTTATCTTTTAGTTCTGAATGATAGTTTGTTGGGTTGATTAATTTACTTTGGTAGTTGCTTGCTTTCAGTGCTTGAAACATACCATTCCATGACCTCTTTGCATTCAAGGTTTCTGGTAAGAAATCTGCTGTCATGATGAACTTACTATTTTATGCTATGATATGTGACTTTAGTATTTCTCTCTTACAGCTTTCAATATTCTTTGCTCATTCTGCATACTTAATGTTTTAGCTATGTTGTGTCCTGGAGTGCATTTTGTACGTGTGTGTGCCAGTATTGAGGCTTGAGCTCAGGGCCTGATCCTTAGCTTTTAATTTTTGCTCAAGGCTAGCTAGTACTTTACCACTTGAGCCACTGTCCCACTTCTGGCTTTTTGCCTATTAATTGGAGGATTTGTCTTATGGATTTGTCTCCCTAGGCTGGCTTCAAACCATGATCCTCAGATTTCAGCTTCCTGAGTGATTTTTTTTTCTGTTATATTCTGTTGGGTGTCATAAAAGCCTCCTGTTCTTGGATAAATATTTCTTTTTTCCAAGATGTGGAGCATTTTCTCCTATTATTTTATTGACCTTTTAGCTTGAACCTCTTCTCCTTCATCTAACATTCTCCTTTGTCTATTCTTATCTGTCATATATTTGGTCCTTTTTTTTTCCTTTGGTCGGTCGTGGGGGCTGAACTCTGGATCTGTCACTCAGCGCTTCAGCTCAAGGCTAGCACCCTACCACTTGAGCCACAGCACCACTTCCAGCTTTTTTCTGCTTATGTAGTGCCAAGGAATCGAACTCAGGGCCTCATATATTTGGTTTTTTAACAGTTTGTCCCAGAGGACTTGTATGTTCCTTCCACATTTCCTGCCTGTCCTTCCCCGCACTGCCCAATGTCTTTTTTCAAGTATTCTAAGGTACCTTGTCCTTTAGCTCTAATACTCTGTCTTCAATTTGGTCTATTCTATTAAAAAGACTTTCCACTGAGTTTTTTCCTTTGACTTATTGAATATTTAATTTTCAGAATTTCAGTTTGGTTATTTTTCAGAATTATGTATCTATTGTATTACTTTTTCATGTCCTCATTTTGTTGTCTGCTTTACTTCAATAAGTTTTTGTTTGCATCTGTTAGAGAGAGTTCTTCTAGCTGTGTTTTTAAAAATAATTTTACCTTCTTTGAATTCATTCATTTCTTTTTTATGTGTAGGTACTTACTACTTTAGCTTCTAGCACCATTCATTTTGTAATGTATGTCCTCTGGTGGGCCTGAACTCTGGGCCCACCCTCAGGTCTTCAGCTCAAGGCTAACGCTCTACCACTTGAGCCACAGCACCACTTCTGGCTTTTTTCTTTTTGCTTATGTGGTGCTGGGAAATCGAACCCAGGGCCTCATGCATGCAAGGCAAGCGCTCTACCACGGAGCCACCTTCCCAGCCCATTGCTGTTCATTCTTAAAATCATGTTTTTAGGATCTTTGGGCTTTCTTCTTTTGCTATTTTAATGTTTCTTACAGTATGGTTGTTGACCTTTGGACACCTTAGGAGGTACCATGTTGCTTTGTTTTTAGTATTTCTTAGTTTTTTACCATGACTTTTATGCATCTGAGGCCAATTCATTGGTTGGATGGTGTGTGTGTGTGTGTGTGTGTGTGTGTGTGTGTGTGTGTGTGTGTACACACAACCTGAGGCTTGAACTCAGAACCTGGGTGCTGTCCCTGAACTTTTCTTACTGAAGGCTAGAGCTCTACCACTTGGGTCCACAGCTCCACTTCTGGCTTCTTAGGGGGTGCTTAATTGGAGATAATAGTCTCACAGACTTTCCAGCCCAGGCTAGCTCCAAACTGCAATCCTCTGTTTAGTCCCCATGAGTAGCTAGGATTACAAGTATGAGCCACTGGTGCCCAGCTGGTTGGAATTTTTAATGATCTGTAAATTTTAGCTTTAGCCCAGAGCTTCATACCCTTGCTTGGCTTTTTTGTTCACCAGCAATTTGCTGGTTAATTGAAGATAAGTCTTTGATTTGTCTTCCTGGGCTGAATTTGAACTATGATCCTTGGATTTCAAGCCTTCTGAGTAGCTAGAACTGGTATTTGGCTAGGTCCTTCTTTATGTGCCATTTGTGGTCTAGACTCCTTCTCCTGTTTGTACCCTTGGTGACCCACTCCTGGCAGGATTCCTCTACCTGAATGATGTGGCTGGGAACTCAGAGCCTGCCTGATTTCAGGACACTGTGAGTCATGATCACTTTAGCAGCTCGTGTGGTCTTAGTTTCCTTCTAATGTAGGCTAATTATTGCCTTCCTTCTGCATGTTTTAAGATTAGTTTTCTAGTGTTTTAGATGAAAGCTTACTTCCTAATTTTTGTTCATTTAAGCATGCAATCCTATAAAAGTCTCTCTGTCTGTTTTAATACTTTGGCTTTGTGTGTATGTATGTATGGTAATGGAGAGCTTCAGGCACTCCAGCAATAGAAAAATTAAACCACTAGCTTGTCTTCTCCATGATTTTTGATATGAAATATGCATTTGTTATTCTTTCCTTGTACATAATATTTCTTCCAACTTGAAGATATTTTCTTTCTCTTTGATTTGGACCTGAAGTGGTGCTGTGTCTCAAGTGGTAGAGTGCTATCTTTGAGGAAAAGAAACTCAAGGACAGCAGCCCAAGCCCTGAGTTCAATTCCCAGATTATATTGGTTAAGATTTACTAAATTGTGTGTGTGTGTGTGTGTGTGTGTGTGTGTGCCAGTACTGGTGCTTGAACTCAGAGCCTGGCACCACTTGCTCTTAGCTTTTTCTGCTCAAGGATGGCCTCTACTTAAGCTGTACTTCTACTTCTGGCTCTTTTCTGGTTAATTGGAGATAAAAGCCTCTCACACTTACCTCCCAGCCTGGCTTTGAACCATGCCCTTTTTGTACCTAGGATTATAGGTGTAAGCCACTAGTGCTCAGCATTTGCTGAACCTTTTTAA